ATCAGCCAATCACACTATAATAATGTTTGCACGAACCTCATTTGACACAGAGGCTATATCTATAAGTCACACGGTAACCCTTCATGAGTTTAGGAACACTGGGCAACATTTTAATGTTATAGGTAAGGACCATTCTAAAGGTCAGAATCATGAGCAAAAAGCACAAAAATGCAGAGAATGTGGCATTGGATAGGCCATGAAAGTGATACCGGTTTACAGTGACTGAAACAAAAGGCAGCATATTGCCTTGTTTGACCTTAACTAGGAACATGTGTATTGGACAATTTGAAGTTTTAGAAATTCTACACATAGCTGTGAATGTCTATGAATGAGCTATGAGTATTGGTTTTGGAGTTCAGCTAACTTTTAACAGGTGGTGAATTTGCAAAGTACTGAGATTTTGCATGGTGAAAATGGCTGTATCCTTTCTCCTGTGTTCCATCTGTAAATGAGATGCCATCAGACTATTGACCAGGTGAGAAATGCTGTGTGAGCTCCTCCTGTTCTTTATCACCACTTGTTCTTGTGCCTTCTGAATGCACCTCAGATCTCCCCCCACCCTTCCCTGGAGGGAGAGACAGCCCAGCTTGTCCTTGAGCTTATGGTTTTCCTGCCTGTCAGGCTTCCCAATGCTAGGACAGCAGGCATGTGCCATTGTCCTGCATTTCTCACTGACCTTTTGGAATCTCGTTTTTCCTTATTTCATTCTAGTCTCTATACTTGAATTCTAAAATGTAGGAAGTTCTTTCTGTCATTACAGCTATTGCCAAATAATTTACAAATTCCTTGTAGCCTTCTCTTTAGCTATCCCTGTACCTCACCGTAGAGAACTTCCTTTAGATTTTTAGTATGTATGATGGGCTGCTTTCTTTGAGTCTCAGTGTATGTACATTCTAGGAAGAATCTGTGATTCTGAGTTTGGAGCTGAACTGAAGCCCTATGTGGTTCATCAGGCAGCCTGTTTCTGAAATGGGAGACACTCTACTCCTTAGACTAGACTGATCAAATGCCTACTTCTTGAATTCTGCCTTTAGACAACAAGTTGGCAAAATTGTCAGAAGGAACAGAATTATTAAAAGTGAGTTATTTGATAGACACCAGGAATAATCCAACACATTTTTATAGATTGGAAACCAGATATGTTAGATAAGTTGGCCCTTTTCTGTTGAAAGAATATTAGAAAAAAATGAATTTGACTTTTATATAGAATTTCCTCTTGTATATTCTCTATAATTTATAAGAAAGAAATCAAATTCGTGCCTGATGGTCTAATTAGAATGGAGGCTTTTCCTAAAGTTACAGTTAAGTATATCTTGGCTCTGAAGAATGTTTTGTTTTTTTGTTTTGTTTTGTTTTTAAAGTACGACTCTGAAGAATGTTAAATATGTAATGTCATACTTGGATAATAAAGGTCACTTAGGGCTGTTAATCTTAAAATGAAAAGCCCTTCAGTGTATACAGCATGTAATTGACATTTAACAACACCACTATCCTATGAGTTGGTGACAAATAGGGAATAACTTTAGCAAATCAAATGGCAGCTTCCACTTGTTACTTGATAATATGAATAATTTCCTTCCTCATTAAATGGTGGATGAATAAAATGATGAAATAGTCATGCTAATATCTGATTTCATTTTATAGATAAATACTTATACAGAGTGATAATAATTTTAGCAGTTTAAGTTTAGGATGTTTGTTTTTAATGAAACAGGGCTTAAAGCCATGACTCAGGGTCAAGTTCACCTTGTACCTATATCTATATAGCTTGTGGAATGAAACTGAGTTTGACATTTTTACATAAAAAAGTACTTTTTCATGACAGGTAAAAATTATAATATTATTTCAATTTCTCCAAGGAGGGTCTTGGGGTACATGCTACATTTCTTTCCACGTTGTCTGCAGCCATCTTAGCACTGCAGTGGAGTGAGTGAACAAGCTGCTGGTCAGCGGGGTGGGGGCAGTTCTCCTCTTTACAGAAGGTGTTTGTCCAACCTCAAGCTGGATTATATAGAAGCACAGATTAAGATAATGAGACGAGGTTATAATATGGGTTATTATATTTTATTTGGGGAGAAGTCACTTATACGAGAAGCCAGTGACCCACAAATTCCCGTTCGAAGGATCCACACCCAGGCTGGTCTCTGTGACCAGACTGGAACCAAGAGAGTGAGCTGGGGTCTGGAACCCCAGACCTAGCCTTTCCCCATCACATCCGCACCTGTGACCACTGGCTTGGTCATTACAACAGGTGTGGGAGTGGTAGCTATCTCACTACAATTCCCCTTTTAGTATAAAGAAAAGATTTAGACTTGATACAAAACTATATACAAAGATGGCAAATATCAAGTGTGCTCTAGAAGAAGGGAATGTAAGAACATACACACTTAAGACCTATTGCCAGTGAAGCAACAAGAGCAAATGGCAAGAACTTCTACATATCCAGTCTTAGGGTGAAGGCATGACAGAGATTGCTATAGAGTTGTCCTAAGCTGGAAAGTTTAAGTCTTGTATCTAAAATTTCTGAAATATAGGAAGAGAGAACAATAATTATTAAAGTCTAATCTTCAACCTCATCAAAGACCTGAGAAGGAGGATAGCAAAACTAGGGTAGGCAGGAAGTGCAGGCAACAAACTTCCAAAAGGTGCAGGGAAGAGAGAAATATCAGGCTACCTGGACAGTCACTTAAGTCTCACAGCAGAGTAGGGGCAGCCAGCTTTGGCTAAGGCCTAGAGTTTCTGACTGACTAAAGAATGTCTTACCCTGACATGGCAAGGTTCAGCAGTCTTCTGTGTTTGTCTCCTGCAAGCACAGTAGGACAGCATGTCCAAAGTCAGCAGTTGAGGTGGGGGCAGTTATTTGCCCAAGAGACCATTAGCAGAAGAGAGAATGGACTCCAGAAAGAGTGACATCAGTGCCCAACATACTCTCAGGGATAGTTCAGCTGTTAGGAGCTACTGTGTCTCATGTCAATGGAGCACTAATATTAAACCATTTAAATGCCATGTTCTGCAGGTCTGTGAAGTGTTTGAAGATCAGACATCTATGTCTAATGAGTCTCATAGGTATAAGAAACATGGGTGATGATAATCTGTAATACTCAGGAATGTAGCTGTACAAATGGCTGAAACTTCCCAAAATAATTTAGCAAGGACAATGATTTAAGCCATATATATATATATACATATATATATATGTATATATGTATATATGTGTATATATATATACATATATGTATATGTGTGTGTGTGTGTGTGTGTGTGTGAAACAGAGGTAGAATTGAAATGTCTTGACCAGAGGTAGAACTGAATAGTGCAACATGATAAAAAATATTCTAAATCGCCTAAATTGCATCTTTATACAAAATATCTTAAACATATATAAAATCATACATACATAGAATATGATAAAGATATTTGTGCACAAAACTTCATATATACAAATTATTCAAGAAAGGAATGTAAACTTAATTTTACATAAGTTACAACATACAAGAATCTATAACAATGTAACTTGTCTATAGCTAATAATTACTAAGATAATTTACAAGAAGCTATGTTAATCTACCTATATCCATCTTAACCATACCTTTTCCATCCATACTCTTAAACTTATCTAAATGAGATACCTGAGTCTGACCATCACCTTCCATACCTAATCCTATATAATTAAAAAACCAACCCTATGCAGGAATATTATCCCTTAATGCCAACAGTAGGGGAAAGGGTTACTTCCTGTTGAAATGGGATGGCGATGGCTCTATGGGATCCTATAAGAAAAAGGAAATTAAAGCAACGATAGGACTAACAGTAACCCTTGTAGCTAGTCTCTGTGTGGCAGGTGATGCTTGACTGAAGTTCTTATCTGAAGCTCTGGCCAGAGTGTAATAAGAGCGTCTGGAGATGTCTAGAGCAATATAGTCCCATATCGATTTTAGGGTGGTGTGTGTCAGTTCAAAGGCTTCAAGTTGGATCAAGTGGAATCGAGAAAGTGGGGTCCCATCTTCTTTCTGGAGAGTTCAAAGATTGTTGTTAGGAATTGTTAATTGTTCCTTGTGGAAAACTTAAAAATTAATATCAACACAGAAATTTCAACTTTTATAGGTATGCATACTGGGAAAGGCAACAATAAGGATGAAAATAAGTATGAGGGAAATTAGGATTTCAGAGAGAGAACCGAGTTTAGACAAATGACACTCCCTAGATTTCATTTTCTTCTATCTTATACCAATTGCTTGTTTGATATAAGACAGAAACTCTGAATTTTATTTTAAAAACATGCTTGAATTTAGAGGAGGAAAGCCAAATCCAACTCTAAAGTCAGCATTGGTTTACATGAATTGGTACTAATAGAGTACTAGGAAGTAAAGAGAAATAAATTTTTGTATAGAAATAATTCACCAGAATTAGATATTGGTACCACCTGTCAGAGTCTTCTTTGATGGTTCTTTCTGGATAGCTACCTTCTCTTCTTTAGGTACGTGTTCAGCATCGTTTGGCTTTTTGTTCTTGTTCTGTCTACCTGAGAAGACTTCACCTAAGAAATGGATTTGCCATCCCTAGCTCTAGCTTTTCCCACTTTCTGTTGACCCTTTGATCATGAATGATTTGAAAGCTGTCTTTCATCCTGGGCATTCTTCCTTTTGGAATGTTTTATTTGGTTTTGAAGGGACATTTTCTTGCTTACTACAACTTTTAAGGTTGTTTGTTTTACCTTCATTTTTATGAATTTGTGATTATTGACTCAGAAACCAGCCTTGGTTGCTGAAGCTTGTGTTCTGACCATGTAAAGGTCACTTCTGTCTATTCTTCAGGGTTTGGTGATTAGGTTCAATAATGGTTATAGTTGCTTTTATCATCTGTGATTATTATCATTATTACAATAGTAGGTTTTGAGATATATGGTCTTCTTCAAATTCTATACCTGAAGTTGACTGCATTCTTTTCAATTTCAAGGATAATTGACTCAATTGTATTATTTCCTCTTGCTTGTTTTACAGGGTGCCCGAGAAACGTTTGAAAATTACTACCGAAAACAGAGGCGAAAACAGGCTCGTTTGGTTCTCCAGCCTCCCTCAAACATGGTAGGCTTGCTACTTGCATTTTCCGTGCTTTTATTCTTCTCTTTCTGGTAGCTGCACATGTGTGCATCTGTGTCTGTGTCTGGAAGCTTATGCATGTGAAACTGCCCGTATCTGCTTGGTGTCAGTCTAACATAACTTTGGTGGATCTGCTTTGAAGTAAGAATAGCAATAAATATTTCTTGACTGTTATGTACCATCCATTATTCTAAGTTCTAGGTATGTATCAGGTTCTTTCATTCACATTGTTAACATGCAGAATTGTGGCATTATTATTATTATTATTATTTATTATTATTATTACCTCGTAGTCTGTGAGATTAAGCTTCCTGAGAGTAAGTAATTGATTTTTCACATCTTAAAGTAACAACACAGAAACTTTAATTTTGCTTTCTTTGTTGCAGCATGAAACTTTAGATGGCTACAGGAAGTATTTCAATCAAATTGTAGGGTAGGTACATATTTGAGTTTCTATACTTATAAAAGATATACCTTTACTTGGGAAATTTTATTCCATTCTTTTGGCAAATTCAAAAGAAAAGATCTAGTTCTAATCTTATTATAATTTAAAAGGAACATCTTCTGGTACCACACACCTGTAAGTCAGTGAGTGCTTGGGGAGGTTGAGAGAGGGGCATCACCCTGGGTTGCATAGAGATAATGCTTTTCAAAAATAAACAAACAACTAAACATACAGCATACTGGTTTCAGCATTATCTTCTTGGAGGGCACTTTTGTGATAAAATAAATGAAAATGGACTCATAATTTTATTATACTTGATGTTTTGTTTCTCCATTCTTTGTTCCAATATGGAACAAGATAATCAGCCACACTGGCAGAATTTTTCCAGACAGTAAAATATTATAGGCCTAGAAGAATTTAGCACCTCTGTCACAACTCTTTGGCTCTTTGCCAGTCTGAAATCAGCTACGTGTGATTAAGAAATCTGTGAGTATGACTGTTACATTAAAATAACTTGTATTAAACAGGTTATTGCTTCAGTGTAATGAGTAACTCTCATTATGCCTATCATTGAGGGTTGAAGGATATAGCTACTGTTAGTGATTGCCTAGCATGCATGGGTTTGATCCTCGGCACTGCATAAGACCAGGTGTGGTGGCACATATTTATAATGTTCCCAGCACAGGGAACACAGGCGGTTGGCTACACATGCAGTTTAAGGCCAGCCTAAGCTCCATGAGACCTTCGTGTGTGTGTGTGTGTGTGTGTGTGTGTGTGTGTGTGTGTGTGAGAGAGAGAGAGAGAGAGAGAGAGAGAGAGAGAGAGAGAGAGAGAGAGAGAGATTTGGGTAATTTAAAAATCCTCTAAGTTTTCTTTTGATTTGAGTGAGCAGGATAACTGAAGATATGTTTAAAATGTACAATAAGCCACAACAATGGAATTTAAAATGGAAGTTTATAATTAAAAAAAAAATATCCCAGCCTGAGTTTTTATTTTGAGGCAAGGGTCCATAAAGTTACTTTAAAATTCATTCTTTAGCTTAGGCAAGTCTTACTTTAGCCTCCTGAGTTACTGGGGTTATAGGTCTGATTTGCAGAATTGTTTTGATATATATTACCTTGAACTCTTAAAAAAATCTATAAATTTTAGTGTTTGTTGTCTGCTTTAGTTTCTTGAAGTGTATTGTATTTTAAAATGACATTGGAAGTAGGTTGTGTGTGCCACTCTTTCCAATTGTTGGGCTGTGTGGTTGACACTCATTTGAAATGAAAGTTCAGTCTTGGTAGAGTGTCTAAGATATTAATATGATTGTAGATACTTTCTCAACATGTCAAGTAATTTCATTTATTATAATTAGTAGCTTCATTCAGAAAAAAATTCCTTTTGAGTTAATGGGCAGATATGAACATCAAAGCGTAGTGGTCAAGGTATAACAACTGTAACATCTGACATTTGTTCTTTTCTTTTCTTCCCAATCTCAGCTTTTTTGTTGTTGAAGATCACATTTTGCATACAACCCAGGGCTTAGTGAATAGAGCTTACATTGATGAACTGTGGGAAATGGCACTTTCAAAGACCATCGCAGCATTGCGCACCCACTCGGTACGTAGGATGCCCCAGAAAGTTCTTATTTATCACTGAGAATCTGCATACTCTTTGGTGTTGTGCTGATTTCAAGTTGACATATGTATATATATCTTTGGCAGTCCCGATTTGAAGATCGTGGGAATGGTTCATTTAGATTTCTGAGTTCCGCAACACCGAGCTTGCCTTGTTAATGCTATCTGCAGTAAGAAGCAGTCACTCACATCTGTCCATAAGTCTTTGTCTGCCCATTTCATACACTTCATTCTCACTGGGTACAAAGTGACGTTATCATTAGTACATTGTTATGTGCTTCATATTTATTAATTCAGAAAATGCCTCATGTGCTATACACACGTATGCATATAGCTAAAGGATTGCTGTAGTCAATGTTATAATCTTTGCTGCTAGCTCTACAATTGACCTTCCTCTCTGCTTGCCTAGGCTAAGGTGTCTATGTTTTTGCTTGCCAACCACCTGCTAAACTTAACTCATAGAGGCATTTCAGGCAGGATGGTGGGCAGTTTATTGAAACCTTTAAAGTGTTCCTTGAACACTTGTCCGTGATACTCCTTCACTGTCCCTGTTCATTATGTCAGGAGTACCACTTCACTGATATTTGCATAAAATAAGACTTTCTTAATCTATACGTTTAATTTCGTGCCAGTCAGTGTCTCGGTAGTTTTATTAGTGGCAGGGTGGGTCCCTTACAATTGAATGTATAATATTTTAAGCCAACAGCAAGTAAGAGCTCAGCAAGGAAGTCTATCAGTTAAGGAAACTACAAGTGAAAAACAAGGAAAGAGGTGAAAATGATTGTCATTGGGGTCATGACGTTCTTCCCGAGTGGGAGCAATGAGGCTCTGGGGAGCATATCTGAGAGTCTCTAGCAAGGGGCTAGTACTCACTGGGCCTGGCACAATTACAGTTACAGCTGTTACCTTTCCTGTACATGTTCTATTCATAACACTAAAGGATGTAAGAAAATAGTGGAAAGACACTAAAAGAAAGCCAAATCCAAGATAAAAATTGTTCTTTGAAAATTTATGAGCATCAGATAGACAACTTTAATTCAGAGATTAATACTCAATGTCATTTCATGCTCAAGAAGACAAAGCCGAAGTCAGAAGTTTATCCTGTACTCACAAAGAGGTGGAAAGTATGAGAGGAATAGCTAAGAAACATGGATAGTAACAGAGACTCTGGAATACAGCTGATTGAGATTGAGAAAATACAGTGCCCAATAAGGGGCCTGTAGTAATAGAAAAGTAAAATGGGAGCGAGTCTTTGAGTGACAGGGACGAAACTGACAGCAAATCCAGACAGACAGACATGCAAACTCTTCATCATATCTGTCACATTAATTAGTCAGATCAAAGGTAAGTTACATTCGGAAGTATTTAATGGACACCAGATTATTTCAAATAACAGGCTTCAATGCCCACTTCCAGATAATTAAAAGATCTTTTCCAATAAAACACATGGAAGGAAAAATGGGAAAAATAGAAACATGTAAATAGAAAACTTAAAATAAGGTGGCTTGAGTAGGTCCATTTATATCAACAACCCAGTAAGCATAGGATAGGTAGACCATGACAGTGCCTTGGGCAGTTTTTTCATAAGGAGAAGCAAACGGTGTAGAAAGTAAATAAAGTAGAAGAGTTCCAACAGCAGGGTTAGGGCTATTTTGTATTGATATTACTTTAGACATCAGAAAGACAAGGGTCCTTTACAAGGAACAATATACCTAGAGGAAAAACATATGGGAATAGGAGAAACTCAAATATGTCCTTGTTATGGGGACATTGCACATATTACCATCAGATCCTGAGAGGTTACATGGAGAACAAATAACAAAGTTATAACTGTGGTGATTGGCATGTGAGAATTGATGAAAATTTTAATTAGTAGCATATAATCTTTAATCTTCCTGTGGAAACTGTTTTCCACGACAGGTAAGTAATCAGATGTGTATAGGCAAGGTTATATATGGTACTTGTTTGCAATTTTTGTTTCATGTTTATTTATAGTTATTTTATATCCCCTATTTAATACCTTTTTCTTCATTGTATAATTAGTTACCTAAGATGCCTGTCTTGTCTTACTGATTTCATGTCTTTTTTTTATGCATATAGAGTATTTTTTATTTAATTTTATATAACAAAGTCCAATTAAATGAAAACAAACATTTATACACAATATTTGGGAATTTGGGCGTCGTTCTTTCCAAACTACTTCCTGCTGGTAAGGGGCGCTGTCTTGGGGGATTCGAAGAAGATTCAGATATCCTAGCTGTAGTCTGTAGGGCTGTTTTGTCCAGCTGTTTGGAATGTAGGATCAGCTTGTACTCTGTTTCAGGCGGTCTGGTGTGATCAAACCACATTAGTCTGGAAGGAATCCACATCTTTTCATTTTCTGTGGAAACAAAAATAGAAATACTTTTCCCCAGTAACTTGTTCTTCAACTTAAATTTTGGAGTCAAAGCGTTTTTTTTTTTTTTTTTTTTTTTTTTATTATTTTACATGTCGATCCCAGTTCCCTCTCCCTCCCTCCCTCCCTCCCCCCAAGCCCTCCCTCCCCTCCTTCCCTCCCTTTTGCCCTCTCTACCCTCTCCCATGCACTCTAAACACCCTCCCCTCCCAACCCCCCACCACAATACAATATGTAGGGGAATGCCATCCAGTTGGGGTCATGTAGATCTGACAGGTCCTGTGAAGTAGGGACTAGGGCTTCTCTCCTATCTCTAGAATAAGGCAGTTATCCCTCCATGGGGGATATGTTTGCAAAGTCCTTTTGTGCACCAGGGATACATCCTGGCTCCACTGTCTGAGGTCTCTTAGGCTGCTCAGACCTTCTGGCTGAGACCCATATTCAGGGGGGTCTGAGTCAGACCCCTGTTGGCTTCCCAGCTATCAGTCTAGTGGCCCTTAGCTCCTCCTTGTTCAGGTAAGCTGTCTCTATGTACTTCTACCGCATGGTCTTGTCCTCTCCATCTGCTTCTGGGTTCTAGTTTGACTCAGTGTTTATGTATGGGTGTTTGCTCCTGTTTTCAACAGGCATTAGTTGAGGACTCCATGGAGAAGTTAGTTGTTGATCTCACTCTCCGGGAAGGGCATTTATGATAGCCTTTCCACGGAAGCTGAGATTGTTAGTTGGGAGCAGTCTTGTAGTTCCCTCGACCTTTCTTTGTGTTCAACTTTATCTTCAAACCAATATTGGCTCCCCTCTTTTATGTTCTCTCTCTCTGTCTCTGTCTCTCTCTCTCTTTCCTATTTTCCATTCCTAACCAGGCTCAATCCTCCTGGTCGCACATGCCTTCCTCTCCTCCCTCTCATTTTCTCCTACTTCTCTCTCCATTAGCTGTCCTCCCCCACTATACCTGAGGTCTGGGGGTTCATGTCTTAATGTCTTTTTTACATCACCAGTTTGTCACTTTTAATTTTCTTCATTTTATTTTATTAGATGATTATGGTTATTTGGCATTATTTTCAATCGTGTCATCACTGCAGTGTTTGGTCAGATTATTTTCAGCCTTGTTTTTTTTCTAAATTTTGAATAACAAGAAAGGCAAATATTTATTTTGAAAATGTCTTTAGGCACACAACACAAGTTTTGATATAAATTATTTCATTGTTGCTCATTTTAAAATAATCTATCCATTTTGGTTTTTTCAAAAATTTGTTTTGTATTTTAGTTTATTGATTGCCGAGCCATCTTACTGGCCCCATTTTGTTTTTTTCTTTAATAAATCTCAAAACATTTTTCCACATAATAAAGATTTAGATCATCTTACTGAACCCTGCCCCCTTCCTTAGTTCTTCTGTTGTTACCTTGTGCTAAGAAATGGTTAGACTCCTCCAATAGATGCCTTTACCAGCTGGTGCATTTGACAGTGTCATCGAAAATGTCATAGTAAAAATGTAACTTTTTCATGAGATATTTTCCTCCCTTTTCCCCATTTCTCTTAGTCCTACTGCTCTGATCCAAACCTTGTGTTAGATTTGAAGAACCTCATTGTACTCTTTGCTGACACACTTCAGGTACGTGCATGGTTGACACTTCCATCAGCTATGAATTATTGTGTTCTCTCTCAAGCCTGGCTCACTCCTTTGAGTTTTTAATGTTTATTATTTTCCTGGAGCTAGATATTTATACTTCTTTATAGAAATAATCAAAGCTTTATCTTGACTAGTTATGCTCTCTTAAATAGTTCCTACTCCCTTTTTTCCCTTAGAGAAAAGAAAATTGCTTGCCCTATTTGAAAAATTAGACTTTTCAAAGTGTTTGTGATCCCAACATAGCACCCATGTACCTTGTAATGTGTTCCACTACCATATATTTAGTGATGGTTGGTTTGAACCATGTTAGAGTAGCATCAGATATTAGTGAGATGGTAGCAACTGCACTTTCTCTCTGTTCTTGGAGAATTGCTTTGGGCAGTCAGGTCAAACTCATCCAAGAGTATATGTTGGCTTAAGTTTTTAATCATTTTCCTTTTTATGACTAACTGAGGAATTTTGATGTGTATCTTTGAATTTTTGAGAGCTAAACACAAGGTAAAGATGAGCAATTCTGATGTCATTTTTTTTCATTGCTGTTTAAATAATGAAACATCTTTTGGCAATCTTACTTTTGTTTATTTGACAAGTCTCCTTTTAAAATAAATCTATTTTCTTCCAGGTGTATGGTTTTCCTGTGAATCAACTTTTTGATATGCTTTTAGAAATCAGAGACCAGTATAGTGAGACTCTGTTGAAGAAGTGGGCGGGTGTTTTCAGGTTGGTGGCTTCAGTTGTCTTCCCGCTCCTGTCCTTCCCTGCCCTATACATGTGCATCTTCTGAGGAGATAAACAAGACTTTACAGATATAATGAGCACCAAGAGCATGTGGCTTATATTTTTTTAAGTGTTCCAATTTATGATTCAGAAGTCTGTTGAGTTGCAATGATTTGCAAAAACGATCTTCCAAGGTATCCTGTGTCAGTATGTTAGTACCTGCTGTATTGGGAAAGACCCATAGCCTGTCTGTTATGTTTTGTTCCTTGGATAAAGGCAGATATATTGGTTCACATCATGCAAATTATCTTGTTACTCTATTTTATACATCTTGTTTTTCGTGAAGGTCACATTTAGTTTGGTAGTGGTATTTAAGTCATCATGAATAGTAGGGCCTTAGGAAAATGTGTCCCTGGGTAACCTTGAACTTCTGATCTTCCCTCCACCACCTTTTAAGTGCTGAAATTATTGGTGTGTCCTACTGCCTGGCTCACTGGTGAGCCATTCACTTTTTGATAACTCATCATTATTTTTCATAAACAAAGAACTGGCTTATTGCAGTTCATATTTGAAGCATGTTATTTAAGTAGTTATTGCAACAGGTGTACAATAATGAGAAATTATTTTGGAACATTTCATCCCAGCATAGGCCTCTTGGGACTATTTCGTTGGTATACATCTCTTGTTGCAGGACATAAGTCAACATACAAACTCACAGCTTTTCTATATTCTATGATCAAGCATGATGAGAAAGAACTCATGGTAATAATTCCCCTACATCATCACTGTATCATCCATTATACATAACAAACAAAAATGAAACCTTGGAATAAACCTAACCACCAAGGAGAAAGACCTCCACAATGGAAAGTTAAGCATTCTGAAGAAGTTTGAAGAAGACACTATAGGTTAGAGGGCTTCCTGTGCTCCTGGGTCAGTGGGGCTAGTATTATGGAATTGGCTCCACTGCCCAAAGTAACATACAGGTTCAGTGCAAACCACTTTGGAATCCCAGTCTCTCCTTTACTTCAAGAGTTCTTGCCAGTTGCTTGATCACCTTGTCAACTTACCTTGTTTTCAAGTTTATTTTTAAACCTTCACCCTCATCTTTAATCTTACCCTTCATAACAGTTCATCCATATATTAATGTAAACCTATACACTTCTAGAACCCAGATGTATCTAATGCTGATGATTGCTTTTGTGGTTTGGTTATCTCTGCAAGTAGTAGAGGCAACATGGAATAGCCACAGCATTCTGTGTTTTCATGGGTTTCTGCTTTCAGAGATATTGTAAGGAGAAAAGAACATATTACTGGAAAAGATTTGTGATTAGCAGAAGATAGAGGAGAAGAAATATAGTTATTTTTCCAGCCAAGTGGTAGTAGCACACACCTTTAATTCCAGCCCTGGGAGGCAGAGACAGGTGGATGCCTGGGAATTTGAGGCCATCCTGGTCTACAAAGCTTGTTCCAGGATAGGCTAGAACTGTAAAATCAAGGGGAAAAAATAAGTTATTTTTCTCTCTGACAGTTTCCTAAGTTAGAATACACTATTTTGTACACAATTAAAACTGTGATTATTATCCAGGGTATCTTATTAAAATGATAGGCTCCAATATTCTCTTCTCATTCACTTTCTACTTGCCTTTAATTTTCTGCCCATTTGTAAATCACAATCACAGACACTAGAAGGTCATGTTTACAGTCGTGTTCCTCTTGTTTCAGAGCTTAGTTTCTCTCTGATCTCGTTTTTAAATGCCTAGACCATAATGGCTGAATTGTAGAAGGAGTGTAGTAAGGACTGGGAGGTGTTCATTTGAAAGTGTGGTAAACACACAATCATTAAATTGTCTCGGAAAGTCTCTGTGTTAAGTAACAATTCTCTCTCCCTCCCTCCTCCCTCTCCTTTTTGTTTTTCATAGAAACATACTTGACTCTGACAATTACAGTCCCATACCAGTAACGAGTGAAGAGACATATAAAAAGGTTGTAGGACAATTCCCATTTCAAGACATAGAACTGGAAAAGGTAAGGAATACATTGAAGTAAAATTCTCTCTCTCTCTCTCTCTCTCTCTCTCTCTCTCTCTCTCTCTCTCTCTCTCTCTCTCTCTCTCTCTCTCTCTCTCTAGATTAATTCTCTGAAACTGAAATACTTCTGGTCAATAGATTTTAAAACACTTTCAAAGAACTTCCTCAGGGTCTTAGATGTACAGAATTACCTCATTGGGAATATGTAAAAGGCTTGGAGGTCTTACATATCTTTAAAGTTTGTCAGATCACTGGGGGTAATGCAATTTGGCTAAAATTTGAAATTCTTAATTTTGTTGTGCTGTTCAAATAGTTCCTTCTAAAACCAGACATTTAAATGTGCTCTCTTTGGTATAATTGTATTGTTTGGACTGTGTATTGAGTGGTTTCATCACACCAAATTAACGTGCAGATAAGTTTTCCTTAAGCAGCCCCTTTCTACCCAGGCTCCCTGTTGCACTTAAGCCCTGCATTTGACAAATTTGAAAATACAGGCTCAAATATTGTCCCTTGCTGTTTACAAAGTCACAGACACTTGGAATCATGTGGTTCCTCCGCACATTCATCACTGGGGGAAGTCTGACAAGATCTCATATGAGGTAGGAACCTAGATGTAGGCGCTGATACGGTGCAGCTTACTGGCTTACTCACTCATGGTTTGCGGAGCCTGTTCTCTTACATCATCAAGCACCTTCCGAGGTGTGGCATCACCCATAGTGAGCTGGACTCTCCCACACCCATCATCAGTCAAGGAAATGCCCTGCAGACTTGCCTGTAGGCCATTCTTATGGGTGCATTTTCTCTGTTAAGTCTGCTTCCTTCCATATGGCCCTAGTTGGCATCAAGCTGACATTAAAAACTAGCCAGCACAGTTGGCCCCTTTTCAACTTGACACAAACACATTGCTTATTAAGGCATAATCTTTCTTTGCTTGTTTACCTCCCCAAATCACATGTTAACATCAGTATCACAGTATAAAACTTTCCAACTTTTAAAACTTCTGCAGTCTTTTAAAAAATTCAGACACTTTCAGTCTCTAAAACATCTAAAGTTGCTCTCAAGTTAAAAGTTTCTCTAGAATAACCTCTCATGCCAAACTATCACTGTTCTCTATTAACCTTCGTGCCTTAAAAATCAGTACCACCTGGAGGACTCTTACGCCTTACCAAGTTCAGCTGCCAGCGTGTGATGCAGCCATGGCTCCCACTGGGCCACAACCTCTATGTGCTCCAGTGAGTCTTTCTCTGTCCTGCCAGTCAGCTCCCAAATAATGACCAGGAGACTTACTGTTAATTATGAAAGTTCAGCCTATAGCTTAGGCGTTTTCCTAACTAGCATAGGACTTCAATTACCCCATTTATATTAATCTATATTTTACCATGTCCTTCATTCTGTGTGTCCAGCCCCCTCTGTCTGTTTGGTGCCTCCCCTCGCCATGTCTCCTGCACACTGAGATTATTCTCCTCTGTATTTTCTCTCTCCAGAAATCCCACCTATGCCCCTTGCCTCACTATTGGCCATTCAGCTTTTTAGTACACCAATCACAGCAATATACCTTCACACAGTGTACAATATCCCACAACAATGTGCTGACCCTGAGACAATACTCCCAGATTTATGTCCTCAGTGGTGCTGCTGGTTTCTTCTTAATCATCACTACTTTCTAGGTTTTAACTAACCAGCATCAATTGTCCTGGTAAAGCAAAGGTTTTACTTAAGTCATTCTGGCCTCTTTTTAAGTACATCTGTTTCTTCAGCACCAGCTGATTACAACCAGAAATTCTAAAAGCTCAAGATACCAAATTGCCCTATTTGAGTCTTTAAGGGACTCCCAAATTTCCCTTTGAAACTTTTCAAGTCAGGACTCCATCTTCTGCATTGCTTTCAATATGCTTAACTACCAAACTCATACAATAGTTCATTAAGCCTCAAATAGTCAATGACTTTTCAATTCCAAAGTTCTAGAGTCCTTCACGGTTCTCGGACTAAACACATGGTCAGGTCTGCTGCAGTCATACCCAAAACCTTGGTACCAGTTTTTCTTAAGGCTCTATTGTTATGATGAAACACAATGGCCAAAAGCAATTTGGGAGAGGAAAGATTTACTCTAGCTTAAAACTCTCAAGTCTCAGTGCATCCGCTTGAGGGAAGGAACTTACGGCCAGAATCTGGAGCCTGGACCTGAAGCAGATGCTGCTTCCTGGCTTGCTTTCTTACAGCTTGCTTGGCCTATTTCCTTATACCACCCTGAACTGCCTTCCCACAGTGAGCTAGGCCCTCCCACATTAATCATGAACCAATAAATGCTTTAGGGCTGGAAGATGGCTCTGGTTAAAAGCACCATGGCTGCTCTTGCAGAGGACCAAGTTTGTCTCTAAGCACACGTATGGCAGCTCACACCACCTGTAACTCCACTTTCAGGCATCTAACACCCTCATGTGGCCACCCCAAGCACTGAATTTATATGGTGTGTATGGATGCATACAGGCAAAACACACATGTACATAAACTAAAATAATAAGTGAATAAAATAATTATAAAAGAAAATGTCCCACAGACTCACCTACAGCCTATTCATATGGTGGCATTTTCTTGATTAAGACTCTTTGTTCCCACATTAACCTTATTTGTATCAAGTTGTCTTATTCTTTTAAGTATCAGAAATCTCTTGGAATTTTTTTTTTTTAACATTTGATACTGTTAACTCAATACCTCACAAAGTAGAATAATGTTGGTTTTTTTTTTCATTTTAAATAATTTCAAGTGTCTTCAATGGGTTTAGTGACTTGCTTCCATTAATTCTTACATTTACAGCAACCATTTCCCAAAAAGTTTCCTTTCTCTGAATTTGTGCCAAAAGTTTACAACCAGATTAAAGAGTTTATCTACGCCTGCCTGAAGTTTTCAGAAGATCTTCATCTAAGGTATAACAGAAGACACTGGGAACCAGTCCAGTGCTTAAATTGTTACTTCCTCTAAAATATATACTGTGTAAAATATTTGCTGTTCCTTTAGCTATGAGTTTGGAAGCCTTGGTATAGGCTTTCACTGTGGGACACTGCTTTTTATAGTTATTGTAGAAGGGAAAAGATTTTGAATAACCTGAAAAAGTATATCTTACATTTTAGACAGTATCGGCAGAAAATTACTGGAAATATTTGTTTAGTCTATCATTCTACTAGATAAAATTTTATAGTGAGATTGGAGCAGTAACACAGTCTTTGGAAATAGTATTGTTGCTCTGCTAGTGTGTCTGTCCTAACCACAAGCTTCTTTGTTTTTTGGCTCATTTATTGGTTTAGTCTGTATATCTTTTGGCAAATATCTAGTTAGTTAGGCACTATTTAGTAGTAATGACATTAAGAGCATAAAAGGAAGGCCTTTATCTCCAAAGGGGATTTTACCTACCTGAGGACTGGAAAACTAATATTAATTGCTGCAGAAATTCAGGATTACATAGCAGCCACACTGCTCAGACCAAGAGTACCTGAAAAGACTCAACACAACATCTGTACTTACACTTGGTAAATTTGCAGAAATAATGAATGAGCAGAGTATATCATATGTGAAACTTTTCTGAAAATAAGTACAATTAGTAATTGGGTTGAGTCACTGCTTTGAGTTAAATATAGATAGGTCTTCTGGTATGCTAGGCAAGTTCTCTACCAACAATCTGGTCTCCAGCCTTTTTACTTTAAAATGCTGAGACAAGTTAAGTTGCTCAGCACAGCTTTGAGTCCCATCTGTATTCCATGAGGCCTTGAACGTACTGTTTTCCTGCATCAGCCTTCTGTGTAATGCAAAAAGCTCTGTTAATTATTGTTCTTACTATGAAAACAATGAAACATGGGGATAGTACAATTAAAAGTTCCATCTAAAACCAAGATTAATTATTGCGGTAAATAAGGATCAGGATAAACAAATAGGCTGAATAGATGTTTATTCAGGGAGAAATAACTTACAACCTAGACAGATGAACACCAGGAAATTCAACCCGATCCTCTCCTGTCCGAGTCATGCCAGAAAGAGAGCGCCTTCCTGGCCCCCTCCGACCTCCTTCCTCAGGTCACCTCCGCCCATCGCTCCACCCCCCAATGGGCGTGGTCAGTGCTACAGAAGGACTACCTCACTACAATTAATTTTTTTAGAAAAGTCCCCCCCCTTGAAATCAGATTACCTTTGAAAGGTAAATACCAAGACATTTTTTCTCCATGCCTCCCATCCTATGATTTTAACTCTACAATACACCCCAGTGATTGTACAACCTCACATGAGAGGTCAGTCTCTAAGGATGTTTGTGTGTGTGTGTGTGTGTGTTTACATATATGTGTGTATGTGTATATATATACATATATACACATACATATATATGTGTGTGTATATATATATATATATATGTTATTGACAGGAAATTATTTTAAGTCAGTTAACAAATTGGCCTATTTTCACTTACTCTTTTGGGGAAAGGTAATATTAGGATAATGTAGATAAATTACTTAAATGTTTTTCTTATTTGAATCCTAAGTTTTTTAATGTTATATTAGAGTGTTTTTCTTCTCTTTCTTCTTTTAGTTTTTTTTTTAAAGAGTTGATTGGTGTTTATTAAGTTGTTGTTTCAAAACTTCCTTTGATGAGTTTCATATTCACAATTTAAATGAAATATTCCCTCAACTTGAAGGAATTCTGCACTTTTCCTTTAATACTGGGTTGACATTTGCCTTTTACCTCAGAATATATTTTCCTTATAAGTTTGGAGTCAGAGACCATTTCTTTACTTAGAGCTGTATTAGAATAGACTTATTTGTGAAGTGGGAAACCGTCCTCTCAAAGTGTCTCCAAGTCAGAGAAATATTAGATGGAGATTTCTTATGCAGATTTAAAATATAATTGTTAATTTTTTCTGTCTGAATATTTTCCCTTCCATCAAACAATGTTGAAAATTATTATCTATTGTGAAAAGCTATATTATCCATAAATTCTAAAGCTATGTAGCTGTTTTGAATGCTTTTGTCAACAGCAGAGTCTCTTGTAATAAAGTGATACTCTGACCTCAATTAAAAGTACAATGCACACATAGATTTTGTTTTCCTTAACACCATGAAAGTACATCTTTGTAATGAATTTTGGCTTTCTAAACAAGGGGGGCGCGGATTGGATGCTCTGTCTGGGTAACTACTTCAATTGCTGAGCATCTCTGTGGCCATTAAGAGAACAGGAGAGAAAAAGTATTTTAATAGATTATTAAAATTGCCTTGAAACACCATCTTACCTCAGTCTAAACAGTTGTCATCAAGAAATCCAACAGCAAATGTTGGAGAGAAGATGCAAAGATGAGGGACCCTTATTCATTGCTGGTGGGATGTAAATTAATAATATAGCCATTCTGGAAATCAGTTTGCAGGTGCCTCAAAAATTAAGAATAGAGCCACCATATGCCCTAACTATTCCAGTCTTTGTTTATATCAAGAGAACTCCACCCCCTACCACAGAGATATCCATACATCTATGTTCATTGCCTTTCTATTCACTATTGCAGGGAAATAGAACCAGCCTAAATGTCACCCAACATATGAACTGATAATAAATATCTGGCACATATAAAATAGAATACTATTCAACTCTAAAGAAAAGTAAAATCACTTAATTGCAGGAAAAATGATTCTATTTAGACTGTTTAATTTTAAGTGAGGTCACTCAATCTCAGAAAGAAAAAAAAAAAACAAAACACTTTATGTTTTCCCTCATATACAGATTCTAGCCTGCAATGTTACATTCGTGCTTGTAAAGAAATATACATGTGTAGCATAACATGTAGAAAGGAGACCGCCAGAAAAGCTAGGAAACAAGGAGGACCATAACAGAGACACATACGTGGTCCCCCGGAGAAGGGGAAAGGGACAAGATCACCCGAGCACATTGGGAGCATGGGGGGAGGGGAGAGGGAGTTAGGAGAAAGAGAAAGGGAGAGGAGGGCATGAGGGAGAAGGAAAATTGAGTCAGGGAAAATAGAGGAAAGCAAGAAAAGAGATTCTATAATAGAGGGAGCCATTATAGGTTTGAAGAGAAATCTGGCACTAGGTTAATGTCCAAAGATCTACAAGGATGATCCCAACTAACAATCTAAGCAATAGTGGAGAGGCTACCTTAAATGTCCTTCCCTGATATGAGATTGATGACTACCTTATATGCCATCCTAGAGCCTTCATCCAGTAGCTGATGGAAGCAGAAGCAGACAGCCACAGCTAAACACTACCTGAGATTCTGGAATCCAGTTGCAGAATGGAAGGAGTGATGAGCAAAGGGGTCAAGACCAGGCTGGAGAAACCTCCAGAAACAGTTGACCTGAACAAGGGGGAGCTCATGGACCCCTGTCTGATAGCTGGGAAACCATTATAGGACTGACCCAGACCCCCTGAACATGGGTGTTTTAGGAGGACTGGGCATTCTATGGGGCCTCTGGTAGTGAATCAGTATTTATTCCTATTATACAATTGGATTTTGGAGCCCATTCCACATAGATGGATACTCTCTCAGCCTAAGCCCTGCTCCAAATGATATGTCAGACTTTGAAGATCCCCCATGGAAGGCCTCACCCTCCCTGGGTAGCAGAAAGAGGATAGGATGGCAGTTGGGGGGGAGACAGGGAAGCAGAGGGAGAAGGAACTGGAATTGACATGTAAAACAAGCTTGTTGCAAATTTAAATAAAAAAATTATCAAATAAAGAAAGGAGACTAAAAATGATGAGTGATGAGGAAGATAAACCCAGTTAAGGAGGATGTAAACTATTTTTTTTGTTTTAATTTTGTCATAGGTGTGCGTGCGTGCGTGCGTGCATGTGTGTGTGTGTGTGTGTGTGTGTGTGTGGTGTGTGTTGGGTAAATGCATAAAAACGTAATTGATACTGTTCTTCAGAATGGTTGCTTTTCTGACACTGGAAATTAACCTGCGCTTCTTTTTAAATTTATTTACTTTTTATTTGCATTGGTATTTTGCCTGCATGTATGTCTGTCATGAGGTTGTCAGATCTCGCAGCTGGAGATAGTTGTTAACTGCTGTATGGGTATTAGGAGTTGAACCTGGATCATTTGGAAGAGCAGTCAGTGCTCTTAACCTCTGAGCATCTCTAGCCCCAGCCTGCACATCTTAATTATTTAAATGTGACAATACAATCTAGGCAGATTTCTGTAGATAATTTTTTTCTTTAATGAAGCAAAGTAAATGTCTACTAGAACAAAATCTGAAGGTATTTGGTAAAGTGCTTGGAATACTTTCTGGCACACAGATCACATTATATGTCACTGGTCCCTTTACTACCACTGCTGCCTCTGCTTCTGCTAAGCCAGCTACAACTCCTGCTGCTGTAAGAATTTCTGGCACCTGCTCATTCACCAAATCTAGTTATCCAGGCTGCAACTGAGTTCATGATTTACATTTCAGCTCCACTGAAGTTGATGACATGATCCGTAAGTCTACAAACCTGTTACTGACCAGGACTCTGAGCAACTCTCTGCAGAATGTCATTAAGAGAAAGAACATTGGCCTTACTGAGGTAAAGTAGCTCTTAGTGAAGGTGACCATGCTGGGTGTCCTCTGCATGCACTTTGCCTAATTTGTTAGTGATGCCAGCGGTATTGGCACTTGGGTCTCTTGGTCCATGTTAGATTTACTTGGCTTTTATTGTTTTGATGTCTTCTGGATATGATTGGTAATTACTCTATCACCATGTTACCTGTTTAGCAAAAGCATGGAGATTTGTGAATGAGGCCCAGGAGAGGAAGTAATAGCTTACAGTCTCTCCTAGTAAAGAGAGAAAGTCCTTTCACTTTTTTGCAGTAAAGGATAAACTGAAGGTTTGACTTACTGAAACCTAGTCATAAAACTAGAAAGTTATGAGCTTTCCTTTCCTTTGGAAATTTAGGGTTTCATGGTCATGTCTTACCTTGCTGTTCCCTGAAGGCAGTGTGCCCCAAGTGAGAGCTTAGGCTAAGGAAATTTTTTTCTTGAGGAGTTAATAGGCTGCAAACCATATGTTTCTTACAGCTCTAGCACAGATCCAGTGTCAGTTCCTCTAGAAATAATGAAGGGTTCTAATTGCGTAATGTCAAGAATGATGGTGGAATTCAGAAAATGATTAATGATACTATACTACACTACACTACATCACACTACACTATACTATACTAGTATTATGGCAACCTATACCAAAGACAACAGCAAACCAGATAGATGAGCACTGGCATGGAGTCTTTCTCTGTATTGAGATAAGGAACCCCCTGAGGTATGACACTGGCTGTGATGGGGCTACACTTACCACAGTTTTTAAAAGTTGGAAGTCCATGTAGCCATGTTTTAGGAGCTTCTCATTCTCCTGCATTTGTTTGTCATTGCTTGGAATAGAATTGTCATGGATTGACTGTCTGTGTCTGAAAATGGCCTATCTTATTTATTTATTTATTTATTTATTTACTTGCTTGCTTATTTGTTTGTTTGTTTGTTTAACCAGGGAAACTACAAACAAGGATAAGTGGGAGTAGGGGGTCAGAAGCTCTTCCGATGTTATTGGAGTGTATTGTTTCCTTTCTGAATGTCAGTTGGGAAAATCTGTACTTTGCCATCTCTATCTTTATAATATTTCTTCTCCCAGAATTAACCAATTTAATTATCTTGTGCCAACAGAGGTAAAGATTTTATGTTCTGGTTAGAAATGCTTTGTTGTTACAGAGCACTCAAGTGACAGAAACGTGTTGAAAATATGCACTTCAGCATCGTTTAAGACTCCATATGAGCTTTCCCTGTCAATCTGCTTTTCTTTCGTTGGGCTACATGATGCTGCTCCTCTCTTTCTCTATGCCCTGCCCCTATGCTCTCTTCCCCCAGCCTTCTTGCTGCTCTTATGCTCCGTTGCTTCTGCATGTTTCATACACCTTCTAGCTCTAGCTCCTGCTGGAACCTGCTGTCTCCAACTGCGTATGGTGCCTTCGTGAGTCAGCAGGTGCAGCTTTTCATGAGCTGCTTCTCAGTTGATGACTGTGCACATCCGCCTTTACCCAGTGCTTCTGCCTTGCTCAGCTGTGTGTTCTTGGGAAAGTTCTGAGCTTTATGTGTAAGCGGAGACAGTGGCATCACGTTTCATTGGATTATGTGAGCATTAAGTGAACATGCTAAGTATTTAGAGCAGTATTTTAGCCATAGAGAATATCAGTACATCACTGATTGCTACTACTAAGTATTTTGGGCATGGATATGCAAACACTGCTTGTCAGGTATAGTATAAAATGGATTTTTTTTTTAATTTGGACAAACTGAAAGATTAGAACAAGATGTCCTATTATGACATATCAAGTGTGTCTATATCAAGATGTATTCTCAGGAACTGAGCACATACTCTACGTGATGCTTTATTATGTATCTTATTATTTAGAATGCATTCACTGTGAGACAGCTGACCTGAACAAGGGGGAGCTTATGGACCCCCAGACTGATAGCTGGGAAACCAGTATTATACAGGCAGACCCCCTGGACCGTGGGTCTCAGTTTGAAGGCCTGGGCAGACTAATGGACCTCTGACAGTGGAACCAGGATGTATCCCTGGTGCATGAAAGGACTTTGGGAGCACATTCCCCATGGAGGGATTCTCCCTTAACCTAGAGGCGGGAGGGAGGGCCTAGCCCCTACTTCAAATGACTTGACAGATCTAGATGATCCCTCCTGGAAGGCATCACCCTGCCTGTGCGGTGGGAGGGAGGGTGGGTCAAAGGGCATGGGAGGGAGGGGGGAGAGGGATCTGGGATTGATATGTAAAATAAGAAAAAATAATAATAAATAAAAAAGAAACATAAAATAGAAAGCATTCACTGTATTTTTGTATCCATATTGATGTTAATATATCTGTTTTGAGTTAAAAGATGATGAACATGGGTAATTTTAAGTTCTATGTTGGTAATTACTTCAGCATAGGCTTTGAGATAACATTTGAAAAGGGTTTTCCTCTAAAAAAAAAAAAACTGAAATAAGCTTTGTTCTTTGCTCTGTCTGTTACTGAAACAATTAGAATAAAAAACTGGTCCTGACAGCCTCAGCAAGTGAGGCTCAGGTACACATCCTTATTGGGTTGGTCACAGGGACAGGTAGTAGTGAAAAGCAAAGAAAAGAGATGAATCTAGTGTCCATGTTGGAAAGAGGAGCGAGTGGGTCCAGTGACCTCCATGTTCATCCTGGCATGAGGGTTATGCATGTTTAAGAAGTCCTGGTCTGCATGTGGTCCTGCTCATCACTGACCCAGTATTGTCTGAGCTCCAGTCTCTGCTACAAGAAGTCTCCATCTAGGAGACAAGTTATCCCTCTGGCTGGCACCAACCTGTCTTCTCTAGCATGTCGTCACTGGGTGGTGGTGGGGGGGAGTTCTAGTTCTCTGAGGCCCATTATCTCAATAGTCTGATAGCCGAAAGCAAGGTACAAGTGTCTCCCTTTAAAGTATCTTTCCTCCTTTCGTGATGGGTACATTTCACAATAAATTAACTTAAAATACTGCCACTGGCCTGGCAGACGGGATGGTAATATAAGGAAGCAGACCCAGAGGTGTCTGTAGGTCATAGCTAACATCCAGACTTAGAGTTGTGATAATATTAGCCCCCGGCAGACCTGAAGCAACAGCTGCTGCTTTTGTTGCTGTTGTAATTTAGACAAATGACCAGATTGCTGTGTCCTGTTATGTCTCACACACCGTATACCTCCTACTCCAGTCACAGCAGCAGGGGCAGTGCTCATGTTAGTTATTGTAGGGTATTTTATATACTTAAGTCAGAAATTTGATTGAAACTTTGGAAATTTGAGCTAGCAGTTCAGTTATTTTGGTATTTTACTTGTTTCAGTCCTGGAGATGCATAAATTGAATAATGGATAAAGCTTTTTGAGCTGCGCAGAGATGAGAGGGAGATAAAATCCATTACAGTTTTAGGTTTATTCATTTTTGCAAATGAGACTAGTATTGCTATTGCTATTCAGTTTTTGTCTCCTTGCAGATTTATCAGTTGGGAGCCATTAAAAATATGTGTCTTCTTACTTTATAGTTTGGGTCAATCCTCTGGAAGTTTTGGGGTGGTGAATTCTCTGCTTCTGGAAGCAAGACAAAGCAAATATATTATAGTTGAGAACTAAAACCTGCTAGAAACATATGGCTGACATTATTTAAGATGATGGCCACCTTTCTTTCTGGAGTTTTCCAGAATCCAGTACCTGCTGTTCTGTCTTGAGTCTCATGAGGGGGTGCAGGAAGAGCTGGGACAGTGATCCCCACAGGGTGCTCTGGGCTGCAGGGTCTCCACAGGGTACTCTGTGTGTCCCATGCCAGCAAGGACAGATGGAAAACTTCTTGTTCCTAGTAGGATTTGTTAATTTATTTTCTTTGTGTGAAGGGTGTTTTGTTTGTTTGTTTGTTTGTTTGTTTTTAATGTAGATAAGACCTTGCTAAGTATCCCAGACTGGACTCAAACTCTTCTTATCGTGCTTTGTCTCCTGAAGTATTGTGATTAAAGTGACTTCTGTCATTTGGTTATAAGAGCTGCTGTTTTTCTTTGCTGGACTGCTGTCATAGGACTTTATATGAGTCATAATTAACATGTGATATGTTCATAATTCTGTGATCTTGAAGCAATGTCAAGGATAGTTTGAAATGTGAGTTGGGTTTAATGATACCATGGAAGCTGCTCAGACTTTGGTGATTGTCTGTATCTCAGGTTGCTTCATTTCATCCTTCAGTGCAGAGTTAGCCTCCAAAGCCTCTCCCTTGCAAGGGTCTGGAAAGCTGTCTTTCAGGAGAGATCATCAGGCCTTACTAACAGACAGTGTTCCCTCTGAAAATGACAGGAATGTGTTATAACCCTGGAATGTTTAAATAGTCTATTCTTTGCTTGGCAGTGAAACATAACGGGTGACTGACAGACTGCTGATGCTGTCATGGTGATCTCTTGTGTTGACAGATCTTTTTAAAGTCATGATAAATTACTGCTGTGCCCAGCATTGCCGCCTCCTTTTTCTTTCTTTCTTGTTTTTTTTTTTTTAACTGCCAAAATCCTGCAAAACAGAGCAATTTTCTCTTTGACTGCCACTGTTTTTTTTTTTAATTTCTATAGCATGACATGATTCCTCTTATTATTAGAATCTCTTTTGATGGACAGAATGTGTTTCTTATAGGTAATGCTGATTTTAAAATGGCAATCTCTAGTTCTCCAGTTTAACTCTGTTCCATTTATGTCCCTTATATCAAGACAGCCTTGCCACTAGCCGCCTTTCATCCTTCGTGGGGGACCCTTGGAGCCTAGTAGTTTTTGAGGGAGGGGTGCCACTTTCTTTAGTGGTATAGATACCAATAAATTGCCCGTGCTCCAGTAAATTTCCTCCTCCCACCTAAATTGGGTAAGCAGCTGTAATTAAACTTAGTGTGTCACAGGCAGACAGAAGACATGGAGACTTGTGGGGAAAAGGGCTCCTGTTACAGAAGGGGATGATCAGAATTGAAGGCCTGGAAATGCCTAAGATGTATTATATAACTGTGCAAAACTCAAATAATTTAAAGTTTTAAAAAGAGTGTTTTGATTTAGATGATCTAAATATGATTTTTTGCCCTTTGAAAGATCAACAGAATCAACAGAGTATAATGAATTGCTCATTTTAAGGGGTATGCATTTCTCCCAGAGTACTTTAATGTTGGGGTTTGGGAAGCAGATTGAGAATTGGGAAAACCGTCAAGATCAGGGCATTTGTCTTCTCTGCCTTATGTGTTCAGGTCCTTCTTCTTATAAACTAAGGTAGTTTGTTGTTTCTCACATTCTGTGTGTGCTACTTTTGAAACTTCTGTTGCCTTTTCAGTTATGCTTATTGTTTTACTGGCTGTTTATTCACTTGATTCATTTTGGAAACTATATTTCTTTTGTAGGGCCTCTTATTAAGAATAGCAGCTTTTGTCTTAGTTTAACATTAAAAAATAAAAATATATTTACTACATAGTGACAAGTGCTACTTGAAATCGGGAAGTACAAGATGCTCCAGAGGCCTGGGGAGTTTTCTTGGAGGGCTTTACCTGTAAGGTGGCCTGTGGAGCACCCTGGCCCTGTTGATCTCTCAGGTGAATGAGCATTGTATGTGCTTACTGTTTTCTAGCTTGTCCAGATTATCATCAATACAACACACTTGGAGAAGTCCTGTAAATACCTGGAGGAATTCATCACCAATATCACTAATGTACTTCCTGAGACGGTCCACACCACCAAGCTCTATGGCACCACAACTTTCAAGGTGAGAATTAGCATAGAGGGGATAGCATGAGCACAGTCCGTAGGCACAGTCTGGGCCATTTCACATGTGGTTTCATTTCTGCAAGATGATTTATGAGATGTCTTAGAATAAGGGAGAGTTTGGTTTGGTCTCCATTTTCCTAGACAATAAATTTAGGTTCAAGGGTGGTGTGTGTGTGTCTGTGTGTGCTCAGAATAACCACAGAATTTCAGGTACATCTTCTAGCTAGTGTGATTATAGCTGACACAGATATCAACTGTAATTCTGTATTTGGTAACTCTCTCTTTTTTTGTGTCTAACTTTTTAAATCTTAATTTAAGTCCTTACTCCAAATAGTCCTTTTTCTAATTAATTTTGCAAGGCTACAGCATTAGTTTTCACCAGCCTTAGTTAGATCAGAGTAAACACCACCTGTGTAAAACAGAAGAAAGTTTAGTGGTAGGTAAGTTTCTAGAGCATAGACACCTTCTCTTAGAAGAACCCTGAGTCTTAATAAAATCCTGTATATTACCATGTGAAATTTTTCATGGGTATTAATCAGAAATATGTTATAGTTTTGAACATTACAAAGAGTGAATTTGATATAAGGATGAATCTGAGTGGAGACCAGGCCTTGTTACATAGCTCTGGCTGGTATAGACCTGTGTATACCAAGCTGGCTTTGAACTCCCAGAAATTCACTTGTCTCTTCCTCCTGAGTAGCTGGGGTTAAAGGCTGGCACCACCACACTAGGCATGGTCTGAGTTTTATTGTTATATGATTGTTGTAGTTTTAAAACCTGTTATGTAAAACTCAAAAATCCAAAAATGATGACAATTAGATACATAGTAAAAGATTTTTAACTATGATCTATGTCCTCTGTTGTTTTCCTTTTCCTTTGAGAGGGGATACTTTGTAGGTATCTTCTCTCAAAAGTAGGCACAGAGTAGAAGTCAAAATCAACCCATTTAGTGATTACAGTGTATGAGAGAGGGACTTTTGGAAGATCTTAGCTATCCTCTATTATTAGAAAGACGTGCAATGTTGAACGTGACCCAGTCCTTACATTTCTATGATAGCAACTGAGTGAGGCGTTCACAAGGTGACCCTGGCATTCTTCCCATTACCAATAAGGTTATTCAGACAGTTTCATTATTAATAATCCTAAGTTCATGCCATTCCTTCCATATTGCTCAGTAATGTCTGATTACAACAGTAACGATACCCATTGGGCAGTTTGTGTGATAGACCACTAATCTATGCAGCATTCTCCCAAAACTTAGATCATTTCTATATCACTCACGTTTTGACAAGTAAATGATAGTGTTGTCACATATATTGTTTAGGGAACAATGGCATGGTAGTAACTTTGCACAAATTCAGTACCAGCTCTGTTTTTGTTTTGTTTTGTTTTTTATGTTGAATAGTTTTAGTCTGCTATTGGTTGAATTCAGAGATGAGAAACCTACAGACACAATGCACTGATGACATATTAATACTGATGCATTTTTAGTGAAGATTTATCTAATAAGGAGGCCCTCAGAATGGAATGAAAATGGATACGAGCTCTCAGAGGTTCAGAGCTATCCAGGAATTTTAGTAGGAATCAAAATTATTCTTACATGGGATTATTCTTAGAGTGTGGATAGAGACTTTATTGTAAAAGTTCCTTTTTGTTTGACTAGGAAAGCCAAAATATTTCTTCAAAGGAGTCACTATATCATTCAGTGTTAGGCCGGGAATACTTTGTTAATGAATAACAATATAAGACTCAGTAGACTGTCTTCCAGATGGAGAATATGCTGAGTCTACTAATACTCTCCTCGGGCTGTCTCATTTATAAAATTTCAGTGACTTTTCAAATTATGTTCTGAAATCTGTTTAAAGGATGCTTGGTACTGTGTTTTCCTGGGTTTTAGAAAGTTTTTCATTTGTTTTTGAGATAGAGTTTCACATACTAGCCCAGGCCATCCAAGAACTCACTGTGTAATCCGGGCTGGCCTCAAAGTGTAAGTAATTCCCCCATGTCAACCTTCTGAGTGCTGGGAATACATACATGAGTCCCCATGCCTAACTTGCTCCAGTATTAGAATGTTGAGGGGAATGAGGGGAAGGTAGGAAGCTGTTGGAGCTGAGCAGCCAGTTAAATGCTGAGCTGATGAGTAGTGCAGGGACATTACAGGTCATACTACAGCACTTTGATGGGAAACATTGATTGCTTAAAGCATGCTGAAAGATTGTTTTTACCAGAGCTGTTTCAGGCAAGCCAACCCAGAAGTCAGTGTAAACATGGCAGCGAAAAAGCTCCATGTTATGTGTTTTCCTAAGCTACTGCTGCTTCCTGAAACCTTTCCCTTGCAGATGGAAACCTTTATGCTGGAAAAGAGGCAGACACAATCAGAAGGTCTTCAAGGTGTTTTCTGGCAGAGCTCCTCTTGTTTCTTCTACTATGAGTGACATAATACAGCTGGCACACTTGACTTTTCCCTGCCCATAAGGTTCTCCTGTCGGCTTTCAAACAGAGACAGTAGCTACTTACTAATTCACTTTATCATAAGTACTGTTTATATACTTATTGTGTGACAATCTGGTATATTTTGTAAGAGAGAAAAAGTCTGTTGACTCAGCTTCTTTGAGTCACAGGGAACACAGATACTGTTAACTTCCTTAAAGAGCTGTAAAAAGTACTAGAATAAACACATTAGATGCCTTCAGTCTGTTGTCTATCTAACAGATTTTAATAAAGCATCTGGTGTGCTTCTGGTATTATACTCCTGAACAAAATAAGTGTCTATTTTGTGGAACTTATATTCTAAAGAACTGATAGCTGGTGGCTATCTGGGCATTGGGCAGGGGGTGATGACCTGAAACCATATTCAAACCCAGAACCATTTAGATTTCTATAGGTGTGCATTCCCACTGAAGGGAATAGTAAGGCAGTGTGTTCTGGCATATTCAGAGATGGTAAGGGGTCTATTTAGCAGTGTTGTAGCAATCACTAGTGAAAGTGTGAAGAGTTCTGTGGTAAAAGGCCATTTGATTTCTAGTGCTATAGGACATAATAAATATTATAATTTTTATTCTGAAGTTTGGTGTGGAGTTTCTGCATTGGGATTGTGGTGATCTGACTTATCTTTGAATATAATAATGGTTGTCGTGACATTCTAAATTAATAAGCGTGGAAGATGTTAGTTCAGATTGGATGCATTTGAAATAGTTCAAGTGAACAATAATGTTCATGTGGAATGGTAGAAGTGGAAAAATATTTTGAAGAGAGAAATGGCAGATTTTTAGCAACTTTTTTTAGTAAAAAAAATTTAGGTAATTCCAATATTTATTTTTATAAATTTTATTTAAATTAGAAACAATCTTATTTTACATATCAATCCCAGTTAGCCTCTCCCTCCCATCCTCCCATTCCCCCCACCAACCCCCACATCCAATCCCCCATCCACTCCCTAGGAAGGGTGAGGCCTTCCATGAGGGATCATTAAAATATATCAAGTCATTTGGGGCAGGGTCTAGGCCCTTCCTTGTATCTCTAGGCTAAGAGAGTATCCCTCCATGGGGAATAGGCTCCCAAAGTCCATTCATGCACTAAGGACACATCCTGGTTCCACTGCCAGAGGCCCCATGGACTGCCCAGTCCTCCTAGCTAACACCCACCGTCAGTTCAGGGGGCCTGGTTTGGTCCTATATTGGTTCCCCAGCTATTAGACTGGGGTCTATGATTTCCCACTTGCTCAGGTCAGCTATTTCTGTGTGTTTTCCCACCATGGTCTTGACCCCTTAGTTTGTCACTCCTCCCTATCTACAATTGTTTTCCAGGAGTTAGACTCAGTGCTTACTGTGAATCTCTGCTTCTGCTTCCATCAGCTACTGGATGAAGGCTCTAGGATGGCATTTAAGGTTGTCATCATTCTTACTATATGGAAAGGACATTTAAGGTAGCCTCTCCACTATTACTTAGATTCCTAGTTGAGGTCATTCTTGATGTGTCTCTTTTTCGTGCTCTCCTCTATTCATTTCCTGTCACAATCTTCCTGATCCTTCATGTTCTCCTCCCCCTCCTCTTTCTCATACCTCCCTCTCCCCTCCCCCCAAGCTCCCAATGTGTTCAGGGGCTTTTGTCCCTTTCCTCTTCACCGAGGGACCTTGTATATGTCTCTCTTATGGTCCTCCTCGTTTCCTAGCTTCTCTGGAGGTGTGGATTGTAGTCTAATAAAACTTTGCTCCATGTCTAATATCCATATATGAGTGAGTATATACCATGTTTCCTTTCTGTGACCGAGTTATCTCACTTAGGATGGGTTCTTCTAGTTCCATCCATTTGCCTTCAGATTTCAAGATTCCATTGTGTTTTTCTGCTGAGTAGTACTCCACTATGTAAATGTACTACATTTTCTGTATCCATTCTTTGGTTGAGGGGCATCTGGGTTGCTTCCAGGTTCTGGCTATTACAAATAATACTGCTATGAACATAGTTGAACAGATGTCCTTGTTGTATGAATGTGTATCCTTTGGGTATATGCCTAAGAGTGGAATTGATGGATCTTGTGGTAGACTGATTCCCATTTTCCAGAGGAACTGCCATACTCATTTCCAAGTGGCTATGCAAGTTTCCACTCCCACCAGCAATGGAGGATTGTTCCCCTTTCTTCACATCCTCTCCAGCATAAACTGCCAATGGTGTTTTTCATGTTAGCCATTCAGATGGGTATAAGATGGTATCTCAGAGTTGCTTTGATTTGTATTTCCCTGATGGCTAAGGATGTTGAACACTTTCTTAAGTGTCTTTCAGCCTTTTTAGATTCCTCTATTGAGAATTCTCTGTTTAATTCTGTACCCCACTTTTTGATTCAATTATTTGGTGTTTTGGTGACTAGCTTCTTGTGTTCTTTGTATATGTTGGAAATCAGCCCTCTGTCAGATGTGGAGTTGGTGAGTATCCTTTCCCATTCTGTAGGGAGCAGTTTTGTCTTGTTGACTGTGTCTTTTGCCTTACAGAAGCTTCTCAGTTTCAGGAGGTCACATTTATTAACTGTCGATCTCAGTGTCTATGCTACTGGTGTTATGTTCAGGAAGAGAAGTGGTCCCCTGTGCCAATTAATTCAAGGGTGCTTCCCACTTTCTCTTCTAAGAGGTTCAGTGTGGCTGGATTTATGTTAAGGTCTTTGATTTGGACTTAAGTTTTGTGCACGGCGATAGATATGCATCTATCTGCAGTCTTCTACACACCAGCATCCAGTTATGCCAGCACTATTGTTGAAGATGCTTTCTTTTTTTCCATTGTATAAATTTAGCTTCTTTGTCAAAAATCAGGTGCTCATAGGTATATGGGTTAATATTAGGGTCTTTAATTCGATTCAGTTGGTCTACCTGTCTGTGTCTGTTTTTTATGCCAATACCAAACTGTTTTCATTACTACAGCTCTATAGTAGAGTTTGAAGACAGGGAAAGTTCCTTTATTATACAGAATTGTTTTGGCTTTCCTGTTTTGTTTATTTTTTTTTCCATATGAAATTGAGTATTGTCCTTTCAAGGTCTGTGAAGAATTTTGCTTAGATTTTGATGGAGATTGCATTGAATCTCTAGAATGCTTTTTTTAAGGTTGCCATTTTTACTATGTTGATCCTACCTATCCCAGAGCATGGGAAATCTTTTCATTTTCTGGTATCTTCTTTAATTTCTTTCTTTAACAACTCAAAGTTCTTGTCACACAGCTCTTTCATCTGTTTGGTTAGAGTTACCCCAAGTTATTTTATGTTGTTTGTGGCTATCATAAAGGGTGAAGTTTCTCTGATTTCTTTCTCAGCTGAGTAACTGACATTGATAGGGAGTGTTGTCCTGCATGAAAAGAACACACAGAACATTGACCGGGACAGACAGGGTTCAAGACCCTCAAACACCCTCTTTTACCACTCTCTCCAGCATCTAACATCACATGACAAGGAAGCTGTGTGGAGAGCAAAGGAAGAAGTAGAACCCTTTGTTTCTAAATAATAGGAGTGTGTATAGAAAGCCCTAAGGAAATAACAGAATAGTGAAAAAACTGATTACATTAAGGTTCAGGATGCAGTTTGGAGTAAAAGTCAGTCTTTTTTGATATTAGTAGTGATCAACTAGAGTTTGAAGTTTGAAAAACAACAACCACAAATTCTATTTATGTTAGTAACTAGAAGTAAAACAAAAATTCTTAATCTATGTGCAGTTCCTATATGATAGAAATTACAAAACTCTGATGAAAGAAACCAGAGATCTATTTTTTATTTTTATGAGTGTAAGGACAATGTTATCAGTCTTGGTTTTTCCTAACCAAGTGTATGTTTGCTGCACCCTCTTTCAGCATTTCAGCAAATTGTTTTGTGGATGTTTAGAGGAATTTTGGAAAGGCAAAATGCAGAGAATGGCAACAAATCTTAAAAAGTACAGGTAGAGAATTGAGTACTTGAGTTCATGCCTTACCATAAATGAAGGCACAGAAATGAGATGGTATAACATTGGCAAGAAAATGGTCAAATAGATGAATAAAGTGGACTGTTTACCCTAAAGCTTTGCGTGTGCATATGTATTCAACATATTTTAGAAAGAGTAAAAGCAATAGAGAGAGAGTGGAGTGGAATTTCCTTTCAACAAAAGATACTGGGCATCTGTGAAAACAGCAAAAGCTACAAGAATCCCAGATGCATGCCTTATATCTGTCTAACATAAACAGAAAATGTAAAGTTAAAATAAAGTGCATAATACTACATCCCTTTGCAGATAGCTGAAGAAGAAAAGTAGGTGATTCTGAATTTGGCAGTGCTATTTTTTTTTTTTTTTTTGAATACAAAGGTAAAGTTTAGCCATTAGGGAAAACAGTGTGGAAGGTCTTAAAAAATTGAAAGTAGAAATTCTGTATGATTTAGTAATTCTGCTACATGTTCTTACATAGCTGGTCACTATAATCAAGATAGGGAGTCAATCTACAATCAATCAGTGGATATATAGAAAAGGAAATGTGTTGTAGAAACACAATTGAATACTGTATATTGCCTTATGAAAAAAGGCATTTTTGGTCATTTGTAGCATCTTGGATAATTGCTTAAGATATTATGCTAAGTGAAATTAACATAGGGAAACAAGTATTGCATGATTTTACTTCCATATTGAATCTAAAAATGTTGAACTCACATAAGTAAAGCAGAGCACGGCTATTTTTGTCAATGCACACAACATTTTTGAAGCAATTCAATAGTCATTCTTCAGCAGATAGCTATAGTTAATAAGTGCATTGTGTCTTGAAAATTTCTGGTAGGATCTGTTGAAAAATTTTTCCTCACAGAAACTAACAAATATTTGAGGCAATGAATGCTATTTTGAGCTTTATTTGTGTATGTCAATTAGTTCATTATGTTATTGCATTTATTATGGCATTTACAATATTTACACATTCAAAATACCTAGTTGAACATGACAAATACCTATGATTTTGTCAGTTAATAAATTTGAAAGCATTTTTCATGTAAATAAATACTATCTTTGGTTGTACTATAAAGTCAAAAGTCACGCAAAATTTAAATAAGAGAAAATATAGAAAAGGATAATAAGTTAGACACATTTAACTATTGGAAGTTGCAGAACTCTGTTTCTGACTGTGAAAGAAAGATTCCAGTTATGCATTCTAGATTTCTGCCTTGCTCTGAAAAGAACAGGTTAAGAGTGTGGAAAATTCCAAGTCCAGATCTCAGTCTTTTACTTTCTTGTTTGTTTGTTTTGTTTTTTCGAGACAGGGTTTCTCTGTGGGTTTGGTGGCTGTCCTGGAACTAGCTCTTGTAGACCAGGCTGGTCTCAAACTCAGAGAGATCTGCGTGTCTCTGCCTCCCCAGTACTGGGATTAAAGTTGTGTGCCACCAATGCCTGGCTATCAGTCTTATACTTTCAACATTTCTGAGGGGCAGAGGTGCCCATGAGGTAGAATATATTTAGGATATATCTGTGTTGATACAGACAAGGAAACCATAGAAACTAATTAAATCATCTAGAGAAATTGAGAAGATCTGAGACTAGAGTGAATACAATCTATGGGTGAGCCATACAGTGAACGCAATGGGAGGTAGACTGTTAGATAGATTGTTTAACAGAAATTAAGCAACCTCATACTGAAAGATGAATATCAGATGTGATAGCAAGATGTTCATGGCATTCTTCATATTATAATCCTGATTGTTCTGTCCATAATGCATATTAATTTATCCTGATAATACCTTTCCTAGAAAAATAAGTCCAACAATATTTATTAGGTAGTGTGCAACGTGAATCGCCTACGTAGCTTAACACAAACTTATGGGATCTAGGAACTCTTTGGTGCTGTTTTAGCATCTTTTTAGGACTGTGCTACATAGAAAAAAATCTTATGGAACAAGTACGTAAGCCCTTGAAAGAGCATTATGATGCCGAAAGTACAGGACAGATAGTAGATGAAGTTGTTCCATAGGCGTATTTACAAGCAGCTGAAAGAACCAGAGCTTGGAGGCAACTTGGGAATGTGGAAACGAGCTTTTTGTTTGTTTGTTTGTTTTGTTTTTTTCTTTGAGTCATACAAAGAGTCAAAATGGAATCTATTTCTGAGAGTAAATTTACTTTTGACAGAAATGAGAAAATAAAAGGAAATAGATTGTAGGGGGGGTGTATGTGAGTACATTTTCCTCATTTAGTGAAGGAAAAGAATAGCTGTTCTTGTAGATTATTTAACCCTGCCCTGAGAAAGAGAAGGGAAACAGTGAATACATATGAAAATTGATTAGAAAAAGTTCCTTTGGGCTTTGAGGAAGAGAAGTGTTCCTGAAAGCTCATGTTATTTAACACTCTAGGTGTTTTCCTAAGTGAGTATAGACACGTGGTAGCTCCATCACATACATGTTTGCCTTTTACAATGTACACATCTGGGTGTGTTTTTACATTTAAATATTATTTCACAGGATGCTAGACATGCAGCTGAAGAAGAGATATATACAAACTTAAATCAGAAGATTGACCAGTTTCTGCAGCTGGCTGACTACGACTGGATGACAGGGGACCTAGACAACAAGGCTAGTGATTACCTCGTTGACCTCATTGCCTTCCTTCGGAGCACATTTGCTGTATTCACGCACCTTCCTGTAAGTGATATCTGCTTCCATTTTGCCCCTCAAAACAGGAAAAGAGTACCTTAAACCATCTTTGCAAAAGGGTTTCATTTCTCATTTAAGTTGCTAGGGGCCTCTTTAATGTCTAAGAGCTCTTAGTAGGTACAAAACTCCACAAAGCGATTTTCAGGCCTCCCATGTAATTTATTTTCAAAGAGGTGGAGCTCTGAGTTTGATGCTAGCCTGGTCTACAGAGTGAATTTCAGGACAGCCAGGGCTACATAGAGAAATCCTGTCTTGAAAAACCAGGAAAGGAAGAAAGCGAAAGGAAGGAAAGAAGTGAGAAAAAGGAAGGGAACTAGGGAGGGAGGGAGATGGATAAAGTACCCTGATTTTGTTTTCTGTCTGCTGTCAGTGTGTATGTGTATGACTCACTGAAAAATCTGCTCCAACTGTAGTGTTTTGTGTGTGTTCACATGCAGTGCTGCTTTCCCTGGCTTGTTCCTGCCTCTTAATCGAAAGTTAGTTTCAATTCTTCCCATTGGAAGAAACAATTCTCAAACTCATATTTCCCTCTTCATTCTGTTTAACTTTATGAACTACTGACACTTCCAGACTTACCAAATAATTATCCACTGAGGAATCATCACTGCCTTTTGTTGAGAATCTTCTTTATGACTTTTTAGACTTTCCCAACTGGGAGTCAGGGAGATGGATCAGCAGGTAAAGCACTTGCTATGCAGGGTAAGGACCAAGTGTAAGCGTTCCAGTCTCTAGAACCCATTAACCTCTGTTGCTGATGCCCAGTTATAGAGACCGTGAATCTCTGAGGCAAGCTCGCTCATTAGAATGGCCAAAGTGGTGAGTACTGGCATCAGTGAGAGGCACTGAGGTTCATATATGGCATCAACTTTCGACTTACACATGCATACTTACACATGTACATGTACACGTGTCCACACATATTCAAACATACATACCACTCACACATACCTATGTAAAAAAAGAAAAAAGGAAAAGAAAATCCCCGGTGGTGCCTCATATTCTCTTTGTGTTTAACCAAGATACTCCTATCAAACCAAAGCAGTGTTGCTTGTCTACCATATCCAGAGCTCTGCTACTCTGAGCCTTTGACCATGTCGTTATCGTCTGCTTCTACTGATGCTGCCCTATAACATACATTCCATTTACATCCATCAAATCTCACTTCAAAGCATATACTTTGAGACATTTTCTAGCTTAAACCATTACCCAGATGGGACATCTCCCCTCTTAGGCACTTCTGTGTTGGGCAGATGTGTTAGCTGTGTCTGAGTCAGGGAGAGAAAGGGTGGCAATTAGAAAGTGGAGGTTGTGCTTCCGCTGCTTTTCAGCTCTCAGTCATTCCAGGGCTGGAAGCAGAAGCCTCCCCACTAGAACAATGTGGCTAAATAAGTATAAGTGATGGCAGTTGTAACAGGGAATGTGCTTTGCAAGGGACAGGGGCAGGATTTAAATAGCTTGGTTTGATGGTAAATATCCCTCTATACCATCTTACTGATTATTAGTGCTGGTGATAAGACCTGGTGTTGATCATCAGTGTCTATGGATAGCAGTACTTTACATTAATGGTACATGTTTTTGTGAATTTTATTTGCTATAAATTATATGGCTTTTGCTAAGGGATTAAAAACTATTTTTGGGTCTTACATATCATTAAAAGTAATTTGATTATTAAAAAGAAAAATCGTAAGTTACTATGCTGAGATAAAGAAAAAACCCAAAACATTGGGTAAAAATTCTAATTTCTGCCTTTTATATTTTGTGGTGTTTCTTCAAACAGGAAACATTTTTCAAATGACAAATTTTTACTGGTAAAATGCCTTCCATTTAGATATAACTTTATAATATTCAAACTCTGTGTCCCTTACATTATTTCATATGGCTTCTTAAATCAACCTGTGTGATAAATGGGCAGTAGATATTTTCTCTATTTGTCAAATGGAGAAAGTAAAGCCTAAAGTGATTTTGCCCAGGTCCAAGAAGTAACCGGAAGTAACCGGTATCTTGCATAATGGTAACTACCTACCATTTGAGAATATTCTAGACACCAAGTCTTCCATGAAGGTGCTCTTCATGTCTCTCTGTGTACAACCTTGCCGCTATCTATGAGGAACACTAAGCTATGCTGAACAGAGCCATAATTTAAATGCCTTGTCTCTGTAGGATTCCTTGGGTTTCTATTTAATATCAGTATATAAAATTTTAGTCATTATGACCCAAACATTTCCCAGTAGAAAAAAAATAAATTATAGTAATGCCACAATAAAGTAGAAAGTTAATAGTAGAAAGTTAATCAAGCAATGGGAAGATTAAGAGTAAGTGTGTGTGTTGCTTGTTAGTGAGTTACTTATTTCTAACTGTTGTAACTCTCTATCTGACACATTATGTGGAAAGTCATCTGGCAATAATGATTGTCGAAGTGCATCCATTCCCTATGGCTTTTCATGGAACAAAATAGGAAAAGTTCCAGGGTCCTCATGAGACAGTCAGGCCTCACAGCCTTGAGGATACAATAACATTTTTCTTCAGATTAATTACATGGGTAGGACGAATGTCCAAAGAATTTTCTTTTCTTTGATGGGGAGAAATACCAGATTTGCTAATGATATCTCTGCCTACCAAGAAGTTGATTTATGTTTCCTGTTTCTGCACTTTAACCTTTAAGTTATTTGAACTACCTAGAGTACATTGAACAACAGATTAGCTCCTTGTCAGTGTGATGCTAGGCTTCCAAGTTTAGTCACTTAAATCCCTTAGAGAGTTTGTGTTTCTTTACAGAGGCTTCTGTGTATTGGTCTATTACTTAGCAGTTTTTCCCCAAGAAAACTCCTGTTACCAGCAGTTGTTTCTGCTGTTTCTGGTAGTATACACCCAGTAGACTTCGGCCTCTTTAATGATACCAACTTTTGAATCATACTCTTTCCTTATAATTCATTTAAAAGAATCTGTCTGATATGAAATAGAAAGTCTACTCTAATCCTGACTTTGGTGATGGGATAAAACAGAAAATGAACAGAACATGGAGTTTTCAGGAGTAGAACCCTGTAGCTGTACCGTTATTAGACAAGCAGCTTCATTGAGCAGGTCCAGGGAGTACGCCATAGGTGAGATAAACTCAGTCATGTTAGTATCACTGTGACTGATTGAAGCACTGGGGTTCTCCTCGCCATGCTGAGGGGCCAGGGCTCTGGGTGTTATTTGAGGACAACACAGTAGAGTCAACATTACTGATAAAAGCAAAACAATTAAAAACTCAGTGTAGTAATAGGCACATAGGTCCATAAACTACAACACTGTTAAACTAAATACTATACATTTGCGAATATTCTTTTTTGACTTTTACATTATATCTTTGGAAAAGCAGAACAAGATTTTATAAATGGATTACAAGTATGTGAGATCCATCAATGTGTATTATAGTTGGAAAATCTCTATATGAAGCATGAAAAGGGTAAACAATTGTGTTTCTGGCATGGTATATTTTCTTCAAAACTGTAAGTGTGTGTGCATGTGTGCATGAGTGCATGCGCGCCTGCCTCCCTCTGTGTGTGTGTGTGTGTGTGTGTGTGTGTGTGTGTGTGTGTGTGTGTATTTGTTTGTGTTTGTTTTGAGACAGGACCTCACTGTGTCATCCTGGCAGGTTCAACTTGCAGATATCTACCTGCCTCTGTTGAAATGCACCACCATACCTGGTTTATATTATTTTCCTTCTTAGAATTAAAATATTTACACATTCATATTTTTTAAAAGTTACAGATTTTGATAGACCCTCTCATTTCATATGTTCTTGTATTCATACATTATTTGAGTGAGAAGGGGAAAGTACCTACATTTTTACCTTTCCAGGCTCCAGGATCCTTTATTTAGCCCATTACTGTCTACAGAGTAGATTGTTGTTGACATAACAGGCTTAGGGAGAGACAGATAAAATATTGGTTAAGATAATGTAAACAATGTATGTGAAAATAGGATTCAGAGAGTTTTTCCAGTTCCTATGGATGCAAAGACCATTCTCTTTTCATATGGCAGACAAATTGCTTTTCACTAAAATTTAAAAGCCTGAAAGATGTGATGTGGGTTGAGGTTTCCTACCAGATTCCTAGAGGAGGGGCTTAGAAATCTGATCTGTTGTGCAGTAACTGACAGCTGAGGTATGTGGTGATTGCGGTGATGCCTTGGAAGGGTTTTAATCATTGTCACCCTTCCAGTGTAACTCCCAGCCATTCTACCTGGGTCTCTCACAGCCTCTTCAGACAGCAGTGACTTCAGCAGAGTGTATCTGTTTGCCCCTTGCAGAAATTCTATGCATACGTGGTGTGGGCCTGCTCTTTCTCCTTAGGATCGCTTCTTACCTCCTCTTACAACTTTTCCTGTTTTTAAAATAGAATTCAAGTCTCATTTCCTCTATAAAGTCTTTCCCCACCTCTACCTCTCTTCTTTATAATTCATATATACTTCAGTGGGTGAGTCTAATGTTTTCTTCACTGCTGGAAACAATATATTTTTTTCTTCTAATAATTACCAGTTACAAATTCTTTGAGAAACTATGTCTAGACTTTTTAACTTAGCCAACATAGAGTAGGTACCCAACAAATGTCATGAGATTGGATGTCTTTTTACTGGGAATACAGACTTTCATCATTTGACATTTTCTGTTTTTTTTTTTTTTTTTTTTTTTTTTTTTTTTTTTTTGTCAATTTATTTTGCCCTGCAATTTCATTTCAATGAGAAGAGACTGGGCAAACACTGAAAGGTACTACAGGCTCTCATGGAATAAAATCTTGCTGCTGGGAATAATGCCATTCTAAACCCATGGTTTTGCTTCTTTGACAAGAATGGGAGTGATCGGGTTTGCTCTAGGATGGCAGTGCACTTACATATGCCACAGTTATGTAACAGATTTGACACATGCCACTGTTCACCAGTACTGCCAAAGTTCATAGTTAGTTCTAATGTGATTTAGTAAGAATTTTAACTTATCCAAACATGTA